AGGTTAAATAAGGTCAAGGTTCAACATATCACCCCAAAAAAATCGGGACATATTTCTTTGATCCCACAACTAAAGTGGGTGGACTTTCAGTTAGGTGAGTTAGCAATTGGAATGGGTAAGATATTTTGAACTACAACAAGCATGTCTTACCTCCATAAAAGATTTAGCAAACTCCTCTGCAGCAGCTACTGAGCTGAAAGCTGCCTTAAAGTCCCTCCTGACTGGCTCGTCTGTTGAGAAGTCTAGGGCACTCCACATACAGGCTCGCTTCTGATTCTCTCTGGAAATATAAACAATCATAGAGGGATGACATCAGGTGTGCAATATCGGTGACATTTCACAGGTGAGTGACATGACAAGCCAGGGGTCAATAGTGTAGGTATCTAGCCAAACCAAAAGACGCTAAGAGTTTTAGCAACTTGACTGTTACAGTGTAGGAGTTGCCATAATCTTCTCAGCAGAAAGGAGAATTCCCAAATACTGTACATACACTCATTTGACGTTTCCCCTCCCAATCCCCTTTTCAACCGCCTCCGTGGTCTAGTGGGTAGTGATTCTGTCCGAAAAGTGGAAGGTCGTGGTTGAATCCCTGGCCTCCTCATAGTTAAAGACGTTAAACAGTTGTGCTACTCGTTACCCTGTCTGATGGTCGGCATTAAGATAAAACAAGGACTGGTCAGCATGTGTGTGAGTGGGGTATCCATGTTAACTGTGGCATGGTATCTCCATGGGCTAGCTCTACGGGCCCCAACATAAGCCTAGAGATGCATGCACGCAACCACGCAGTCACACATTTTTTAGCGTCATTATTCTGCGGATATATTTTCAAGGTGAAGTATTTTTATCGGACTTACAGATTTATTGAGTGATCGCGACAAATGACCATGTTGCAGATTTTTTGTTTGTCATCTGTCTCCATGTCAATCTGGTTTCCGTTCAGGTCATCATTGTACAGAATCTTCAAGTTGCCCATTCCAAGTTTCTAGAAAGAAGACCATTCTCGTTCAAAACAACTCCAAATAACATGTTATATCAACTTGTGAATGAATTTGTGAAACCCTTGTGTGACAGGTATGTTAGTGAATGAGTGTGTTAGTATGGTTTTAAGCAGCTTTAAGCTACCTAAATAACTATATATTTGTCCATTTATATAATTTCAGGATAAAAAATGCGTCATCTTCGACTATCTTGAACTATAGAACTGTGTACATGTATCTCGAAGTTTGCCACATTAACAGTATTGAGAAGCACCAACAAGTATCTCACATGGCGTGGGAGAAATCTCTTTGATACGTGCATATGTATCACCTTTCCTTTCAACCCCATCGCAGTAACTTCCTGGTTACTAGTACATCAAAATGTGCTTATCAAAACAGGTGGGGTAGAATAGGTCTTCAGCAACCCATGCTTGTCATAAAGGGCAACTAATGGGATCGGGTGGTCAGGCTCACTGACTTGGTTTTGATTCATGTCATCATATCCCAATTGCCTAGATCAATGCTTATGATGTTAAACCCTGGATTATCTGGTCCAGACTCGATTATTTACAGACCGCCATCATATAGCTGGAATATTGCTGAGTGCAGCGTTAAACAACAAACAAACAAACAAAACATCAAAGCATGCAATTAACAAGCTTGAGATGAAAGTGGCACTTTGTTGCTTTTGTCAAGTGGACTGACTAAATAATGTACCACTCACTCAGCTGTTGATTTTTGACTGCTGTTAATGATTGCTGCTATGCCTAATAAGGATCTATACTACAAAAAGTTTGCTAAGGAACAAGTTTTGATGATATCAAAAAGTCATCCAACAAATAAAGATTTAAATACCCCGGTTACAATGAGTGGGTAACCCCTGTGAGACCTCAATCTCATGATGAACGGACAAAGGTATGCATTCATGTGCATAAGGTGCTTGAAAACCCTATGTTTTGAGGTATCATGACAGAATCGTTGCACATCATTATCAGAGAGCACACCAACATTTGCTACTGTGGACTGCAACAACTGAATGCACTTATGCTCACTCCACGTCAAAGACGTCGTTTGAGGCACGAAGATTTAGGCAGATACATGGAATCAATACCAGATGTTTGCATCAGGGACTTGCAGGCGGTAGACAGCGTTCCACCACACAGCAGGAAGTTTTCTCCTGATTGCAGCAAGACATCATCATTTTGTGTCTGCCACCACACTCAGAAATGACCTGCATAACGCCAGTAATGGAGGGAATGTATCAGACAGGCAGGCACATTTGGACTGGGCTGAAGATCACCTCAAGTGGACAGACCAGGACTGGGCTTCAGTACCATTTACTGATGAATCAAGATACTATCTTGACTTCTCAGATCGTCATGCCTGAGTGTGGTGTAGATAAGGATTTTAGGATTCCAACGTAGTCAAACATGACCGCTATGGAGGAGGCTCAATCATAATTTGGGGTAGGATCAGCAGAACGGGAAGAACCGATCTCCATGTCTACAATGAAGCACCATGACAGGTGTGCGCTTCAGGGATGACATTTTGGATGTGTAAATAAGACTGTATGCTGGAGCAAATCGGACTGGACTTCCTCCTCATGGACGTCAACGCATGATCGCATCGTGCCAGTGTCGTTAATGCCATCTTAGAGCAGCAAACCATTTTGACAAGTGATCTGACCGACTCTACATTACTGCAATACTGTGCAACACATAAAAAAAGCATCAATATCTTACCTTCCACTCATCATTCTCAAAATAAGTCAACGTAGCTCTCTTCTCAAACATGATGCTTTCTTCCTCAGAATCGTCATCTTCTTCCTCCTCCTCCTCTGTCACAGAGACGTCCTGGCTTTTGGACACAGTTGCCGAGTTGTTGGTATTCTTGGCTGGGGATGCTGGAAGTACATCAGTTCCTGTTTTAGACAATTCTTCAGGTGACAGATAAACTGTTTTATTCAAGGGTGCAGCAAAATGGTCACAGTGAGTTTGGTTTATTAAGAATCTTATAAGATCAAATGACACAAATACACTATAAGTATTAATCTTTGGTTAAACAAGAATAACACCATTCTATACGACTGAGAAAATGTTAAACAGCTATGAAAAATGATCATCCAGAAGGTTTAGATTTAATTACTTTGGTTCAATAGGTAAGAGGTAGCACCCTGACACAAAGCCTTACCAGATTCCGTTGCCCTGACCAGCTCCTGAACCTCCTCAAACTTCTTCTTGAACTGTCTGGCCAGCTCCTCTGTCTGCAACACAAGACTCACTCACATGAGATGACGACATACACAGTCAATCCTAAACAAGAACCAGGAGATGACATATCTTCTCCATTCTGGTGCAATTCAGAAATGGAGTTTGGCTACTTATACCCAACTTTTGGTACATTGCCATTGGTTACCTTCAGTTCTGTGAAGAAAAAATACATTGTTGTTCAGTATTTTTCAATATCCCAAATTATCAAAAGGCACCAGTTCACAACTATACTGGTCTGTAAAGCAAGTTCCATCTGGAAATATCCAATGGTTTGGGAGTTCTGCACCGGAAATGAGCACTATTCTCATTTTCAGTATAAGTCCAACTTGTTGTGAAAAACAAATAATTAAAGCTCCCAAATCATCAAACGGTACCAGTACACCACTAGACTGACCTGCATAGCAAGTTTCGACAAGAAATATTCAACGGTTTGGGAGTTCAGCTCAAGAAACGGAAAACTGATGGATGACAGACGGACAGACATGTTGTTCGTTATATCCCCTAGTTTTTTCAAAAAGGGATGATAAACAATGGATGTACAAGAAATAAATTATCTATAGTGCTTTACTTACAAACCCATCATTGTTTATTCTAGCAAGACCCCAGGTTGTTTGTCACAGACAGGATTTGTTTTCTATTGCTTCAAAACATGCATTTCTTTCCGTTCATAGAGGAGCCAAACAATTTAATCCAACTTGTGCAGCATAAAAATTAATTTTGTTGGTAAATCCTGAGGATAGATCATCCCTCCACCCCCAAAAGTTTGAATCTTTTCTTAACTGAAATGTAGATGCAAATTGACATCTCAAAATGTAATGCTGCCCAAGACATGTCTGTTATTTCAGTGGTGACTGACCTTGAACCTGAGGGCAAACTGTTCAACCTTAGCCTCGTTCTCAGCATAGTCTTGAGCAGTCCAGCACCAGGCTGTCTCTGACGTTGACATGGGAGACAGGGTCATATTGCCAGCTATCAGATGATTACATGCTACTTTGTGTACTTGATCTCGCTTCATCAGCAATCGGTATTTATCTACAAGGACAGAAAACAGAATGGAAAACATATATAAAGGTTTTATCATGTTATTGAAAAAAAAAAACATTCTTCAGACAGAAGAACTGAAAAACACATTTTCAAAGAGTCTACTGTTTTTTAATATTACAATACGGTTCTCGGACTAGTTTCAGTGCAACAGAAGACTAAACTTTGAACCCTGCCTTCATCATGCTTATGACAAGCATGTTTATCATATCAAAAGGTTCTCTGTTGGTTGTTTCAAGCTATATGATGGTGGCCTGTAGGTAAGAGTCTAGATGAAATATGCCAATACCCGAGATGCCAGACTCACCATCTTGTTTGAGGATCTTCATGTCTCCCACAGCTCTCTCCTTCCATTGGTTGGAATCCCGCACATATCGGAACAGCTTCGATCTCTGGCAGTACACCACCTCCCAACCTTCTTCCCCTGCAAGGACATTTACATCCACATCACATATGCAGACAAACTTTGCCAACAACAAAACAATAACTCACAAAAAAAACATAATATGAACAGGAAAGCACAATTTGGCCTTGAACTCACCTGTTTTGACTTCAACGAGTTCTGGAAGGTCAATGATGGGCTTAAAGTCAATGTCATCACTCTGCACAACATCATCATCATCAACATTGGTCCTGTTGCCTCCTGGGGAAGTCCCAAAGATCTGCTGACTTCCTCCTGACCACTGGAATGGTCGGTTCTCATCTGCCAGAAAAAAATATAGAATGTCAGGCCAAGCGCTATGCTCAATAACTTGGGAAGGGACTTCACTAAGACTCCAAACAAAGGGTACCTGGCAAGCAAAATGAAGTAGGAACTTAGTTTGTTCAAAATTGTGATATTGTATTTAAGGTACCTTTCTCCTTCAATTTAAAGGTCTATTCACATTGAATATCAATATTACATTCAGTACTGTGAACTAAGCATTAAGCCTCTTCCTCTTTATTGATCCTGCTATGAGTGAAATACACTTGACCAAGTGATCACATTAGAATCTAGATGCTACTATATATTATATCAATTAAGAGCATCCTAATTCCAATTTGGGAAATTTAGACATTAGCTTCAGACTTAGGGCAGAATAATGCTGGGAATTACATTTCTTTTTTTGGTTTGGTTTGTTGTTTAACGCCGCACTCAGCAATATTCCAGCTATATGACGGCGGTATGTAAATAATCGAGTCGGGACCAGACAATCCAGTGATTGATATCATGAGCATCGAACCACGCTATTGGGATCGATAACATGCATCAATCAAGTCAGCGAGCCTGACCATCCGATCCCGTTAGTCGCCTTTTACGACAAGCATAGTCACCTTTTACGGCAAGCATGGGTTGCTAAAGATCTATTCTACCCTGGAATCTTTGGACTTTTGGGGTTGAAAAGGCTGCAAGCAATTCTAGGACTGATGATGGTAACTGTCTACTTGCCTTTCTTGAAAGCATAACCAACTGCATCTCCCTGTGCAGCTAGGGTAGAGAAGGACATCCCTGAAGCCTGGCCGAACATGCAGAACCCTTCACTGGCACCAGTACTGCCTGCAACACCTGATGGTCAATAAGTCATTAATGCAAACATCATCGCCTTTGGTGTTTAATGCTGCATTACGTAATATTGAGGCTACATGATGGCAGCCTGTAAAACATCAAATCTGGGCCATGACAATCGAGTGATTGATATTGTGAGCAACAATCAATGCAGTTAACACCAAGTCAAAGAGTATGACCACCCAATCCATTAAGTTGCCTCTTATGAACAGCATAGGTTGCTGGGGAATTCCAACCAGGAGTCACCACAGGAATATTTGTGAATTAAAGGAACATAAAATAGGAGCATGTAACATAGAAGCTCTTCCCTGTCACCATCCAATTACTCTCATTACTTACTGCCCGCAAATCCTATCTGGTATCAGTTTCACAACGGTTGGATATTCAGTGCTAGAATTAAACGGGGACCCTGAGGTCTCCATATATTTGTATTAACATGATGATTATGACAAGGACCCACTGACTTGCATGCTTAATTCTGACACTCATCTTGATACCTTAACAAAGCTCCAGAGGACTATCAATACTGATTACTTCATTAAAGTGTAAATACTATAAACCAAAACCACTTACTACCAGCACTGCTTGAAACTTGAACTGACGCTCTTGTTGGTGCAGGACTTGTCTCCTCAGATTTTGCTGTAATGATAAACGAACCTAAATAAACTTTGGAATAAAGAAATTAAATTACCAATGTGAGATTTCAGAAAAAAAGAAGCTAGCCTAATATTACACTTATTTTTGTTAGAGAACCATAGTTTCGTCCTTTCAGACATAACCTCATGAAGACATTTGGCTTTGACCTTGCTGGGCACGCTGACTTTACTGGGGTCATAGTCCTCACAGCCAATACAGCCTGGACAAGGGGGTTTGTTTTCATAGAGGTAGAAGGACTCGGGCAACAGGTACTTCCTGGCTCTGGCCTTCTGTTCCTCTGTAGCCTCCTCCACATTAAGGAACTCCACACCTGAAGTGTCTAAGGGACACAGAACCAAGCGTCAGAAACAAGGAAGTAGAGCGGGCATCTCACGAGTAAAGTGCCTTTTATAAATCAGTGGGTGAACTGTAGGGTCAAAAATGAAAAATGGTGTTGTTGTTTTTTTTTCACAAAAAGTCCAAAGGTTACTTCTCCTCCTATATAAACATACCTTGAAGTCTATTTCATGACTAAATTAGTTGGAAGTTGCTGTTTTTTTCTGAATGTAACATTAACCAAAATAAAATAGCAACAATCTGTAATTACTTGTGACTATTCATAATCCAATAAACAACTTCACACAGTGCCACTTCTGGAGGGGCATATCTTAGAAAAGTAAAATGTGGAGGCAGGTGCCACTACTTCGAAACATCACACTTAATATGTAGTACAGGTGTGAGCACCAGACCTACTGGCTAGGTTCCCAAAGTGGGAACCACTACACCAACACCCGAGTAGTTTTCTACATGCAGCTGGGAAACTGCACAGGGCTAGTGTATAGCACTAGTAATTATCAGATTCTAATCCCATGGGGAAAAGATGCAAAAGTCCAAAAGCATAAATAATGATGCTTTGCTACATACACTGATCCAGCATTAAAAACACAATTCCAATAATCCCCATATTTCATAAACAGGGCTAGGTTTGTGCTCAAAAGTTGATATTGTAGTAATAACAATATTGTGTTTTTAATGCTGGCTAGAATGCTTCTTCATCAGTAACACCATGAAACAACATTTCTATCAATAAAGGAATCCATCAACCTTTAACAAATCAAGGTAGGCAACAAAATTAAAGACAAGTAATAAGGTGACAAAGTAGACAAAAAAATAAAGGATAACAACTTCTTTATTATACTGGGATAGCAATGGTATAAATAGAGAATCTCACCCGAGTGTCTTTTGATATCAAAAGACACGAGGGTGAGATTTTATTTATCATCCAACATCATTCTTTCAACTTTTTCAATTTGTAGACAGTAATTAGCAGTGTCTTCAGTGTAAAAAGTACTGAAAACAGCTTCAGTAGCAGAGCCATTAGTGATGGCATTTGATTATGACGTCATGGTAACCAGTGACGTCACAATGGTCTGCAAAGCATTGTGATGTAATTTCATTGCAGCGATATCTACAGTGTAGATATCACTTGATCTCATCCAAGCGATATCTCCTGTGGGAGCAAGTTTTGGATTATAAGTATCTTTACCGGAACTGCACTGTCTATTACAGTACAATAATAGAGTTTTTATCCATAACAATGTTGCGTCAACTTTGTCATGTTTGTCATTCGTCAACTTTGTCATTCGTCAACTTTGTCATTCGTCAACTTCTAAGAAATGCCTATCAAACACTTGAAGCCATCATGTATACAAAGAGATGCAAATTAATAGGGAAAGACATCAATACTGTGTTCTATTATCAGGCTATGGTCAGTAGCACAAAGACAGACAGGGAAGCATACAAGTACAGGGGCTGACACTTTCCATCTGGTTCAAGGAAGTACTGGCTCCACAAACAAGGTACAGATCAGAAAGTTAATACTTCCAAAGGATATTTCCATTCCAGTGCTTACAACACAATGCACACCAACAACATCATCATGAACATTACAGATCTAAAGCGAGAAATATACCAAGTGACATAATATTTATGGAACATTCTTGAGTAGGGTGTCGAAAATATACAAACTGTTCTTAATCAGAAACATTACAAATAAAATAGAAAATAAAAATCACCGTCCCTTAAGCTGTTCAAGCACAAATTATGTAAATGGACTATAACTGACACATTTCACTTGAATTTGAAGTGGGACACATTTTTGTCAAACTGAATTAAATGATATCTACGTAACAAAATATGGTGAGTAAAACCAAAGTATGGGTGACTCATGGTTTATTGGCAGACATATTTACATAGTCCTGTTAGTATCACACACATTCTGTATTGTCAATAATGTATGTAAATGGAGAATAATTGCCTGATTTCTCTTGTATTTGTGGGCTTATGTGGTAAGTACAAACAAGGTATGGGTTGCTGATAATTTATTGATAGTCCACATATACATGGTCCAGTTAGTTTCATACCGACTCAGCTGATTGTGAAACTGACCAAAACTGACTTGTTCATGCAGTTAATTCCACTTTATATCACCACATAAAGAGCCGGGGCAACTTTCTCTAATAACAAACAAATGCTTTTGAAAAAGACAAAAGACAGCTTGCTGTCTCCAAACAATTTTCCCAGCTCAAGTTTTCCCATACACTCATGCCCTGAATCTCAAGCACATGTGGGCAATGATAGTCGTCATGAATTAAGGAAGTCTTGACAATCTCAGTCACTTGTTAGCGTTAAAATTGCCATGTAAACAATGGGAAATTCCAAAGATGTGAAGTCTTTCATTTCTACAGCAACTTTCCTGTATTCAAAGTGTTCTGAGACAATTACATTTTCAAATAGACACTAGAGTCTCGTCATACATGATGCCAAAGAACTGGGTATCCAATTTGTGTCACCTTTAACATGTTTAATATAAAATGTCAAGGCCAGAGAATAATTCCACAGAAACAGATTGCACTGGGTGCAAAAGGTCAAACAGCAGGGAAAACTACACTGATTTAGTACTGGTACTGAAAATCAGTGAAGACACCTGGAAGTGAACAACACTTGATGTATATCTGAGATTTGAAGGACAATATTGCTTGTTGTCTGTCATCACAACCTGTACCTAATCAAGTTAGCAGAACAATGCGCCAGTGACTGTTATCATGAGCAATGCTCCACACAGTCCGGGTATGATAACACACAATGAACCAAGTCAGGACAGGCCTTGAACCATACAATATTTCTGCAGATGTCTGTTCAAAGTCAGGTGTTCTGTTATTAAGGTTATTAGCAACAAACGTTGATAAATATTTGAGAATACAGAGGAATACAGGTAATGTCAAAAGTTTGATGTCTAAAACTGAAAACAGCACCAACCTTACACTGTTACAGTATGAATTACCCAGTATCAACTATAATATATCACAATGATACAACCTTCACTTAAGTGGGAGAAACTAATATCAAACTTTTGACGTAACCTGGAAGGATGCAAGTTTGTAAAGCAAACAATGAGTATGGAGGCGGTGTGGATACCAAGCTCCAAGTGGAGGAGGGTACTGGTCTCACCATTCAGCTTGGAGGAGTAGTAAGGGTTGCCAAGGTTACCAGTCCCCTGACTGCTAGAATATGTCATCTTTGGTTCATCTATCAACTCGTCAAGTTCAGAGCTATAGTAAGGGTTGCCATCCTCCCCGGTGGCCTGACTGACTGTGATGGATGTGACAGTCTCCACAACCACTGAGCTGTCCAGGTGTTCTGTGTGGTAATGGTTGCCCTTGCCCCCAGTCCTCTGGGTGCTACTGCTCTGTATCACTGGCTCTACACCCGTCTGGTCAAGCTGGGATGAATAGTAAGGATTGCCTTCATCACCTGTTTCTTCATAGCTGGCGCTAGACAGAAGGGACTCATCCACAAGTCTGTCCAGTTCAGAACTGTAGTAGGGATTGCCCTCACCACCAGTACATTGTGCAACCTTGGTGGCTGACATGGATTCTATGACAGCAGCCTGTCCAAACTGTGCTGTATGATAAGGATTGCCTTTGTCTCCAGTACCTTGTATATTTGCAGCTTCCATCTGGGGTTCTACACTTGCTTCCTCTAACTGAGCCTTGTAATATGGGATGCCCTTGTTTCCAGTATCCTGAATGTCCATACTTTGTGTCATCTGGGATTCAACTCCTGATTTTTCTAGCTCAGCCTTATAATATGGATTGCCCTTGTCACCCTGACCTTGAATGTTCGAACTGGTCATCAAAGACTCCATACTGGATATATCTAGCCAAGATTTATAATATGGATTGCCCCTGTCACCAGTACCATGTACAGTTGTAGCTGCCATTTCTTCCACTATCTCAGAGTCATCAAGATGCTGTACATAATACGGATTACCTCCATCACCTGTTCCTTGTACACTGGTGCTAGTCATAACAGATTCTGCACTCGTTTTCTCAATGTCTGCTTTGTAATATGGGTTTCCTTTGTCCCCAGTTCCTTGAACACTCGCAGAAGACATATGTTCCTCAACCCCAGATGTATCCAGTCTTTCCTTATAGTAGGGACTGCCCTCATGCCCTGTTGGCTGACTAGACCTACTGGTCTGTAAGGGCTCTATGCTTAGGTTCTCAAGCTCAGCTTTGTAATAAGGATTGCCACTATCACCAGAAACCTGCTTGGTTGCAAATTGAGCTTGTCATCATAGCTTCAACTAAAGAGATCAGATGGAATCATTGCAGCAATAACCATATTAGCTTACCTGTACACATTAACCCTCTATACAATCAGGTTTCAAAAACATCTTTAACTCTAAAAGTTCTTAACGTCACAATGACATAATAATGACATATGGGTGGCATTTTATTTTCTGTAACTTTCTAACAGGTAAAATGGTTACGGGACACCACATATTTTCATCAAAAGAAAGTTTAAGGAGAAGTTACTGATGATGAAAATCTCTTAATTGAGTCATTGTGGCCATATGAAAAGAAAGTCACATGACCGAGATGCTTTACAATCAGTCATCAAGTTCTCTAAAACTTAATGTCACACTTTAGATTATCTGTTTACAAACAAAATGGGAATGAATGCCCTTGACCTTGAGTTAAGAATGATATGTTCATGATGGATTTGCTATGACATCAATTTGGAGGAATGCCTACCAATGGACCAAGTTGTGATCAATGTGACCTATGGTGACCTTCACCTTTATCAGTAAATACATGAAAAAGAATAAAACAACCAAGGAATATATCGCAGTATCTCAATTGTAAACAAAGGTTGTAACAACAACAAATTCAAACAAAGTCAATTTCTGGAAAACACATCAAGTCGCCCTCATCCTACGGGGCAGTGTTATTACCTACATAACAGAAAATGATCACAGCAGACTCACCCTCAAACTGCTTGGCTGACACATCTTCTGTAGCGGCTCCAGAAGCACGTTTTTCACCACATTTGCCAGCATCAAACTCCTTCTTGAATATGTCAGCTATCTCCTTGTTCTTAAACTTGATAGCCAGTTGTTCCACCTTGCCCTCTTCTTCTGAGAAGTCCTTACCATGCCAAACCCATGACTTCCCATCACCTGAGGCCATAGGCTTGAGTTCCAGCTCAGGGGTGATGACGTGGTTGCAGCAGACTTTGTAGATCTGTTCTCGCCTCATCAGCAATCGGTAGCGGTGAGAGGATTTGTGTTCCAGGATCTTCATTGTGCCAAGACCTCTCTCCTTCCACTCACCCTCACTGAACCTGAGAATATAAAGAAACATCAAGTGCATGATAGCTTCATACCATACCATAGCTTCTTGAATTGTGTGAACATTCATGAATGACCTTGAGAATGACTTAATCTGCAGCATAAGCCGTACATCTGACCCAGGCAGCGACAGATGATAAATCTGAGACATGAAACCTTTCTGAACAAAATGCGTCATGGGGGGTACATTCAAACCAAGCCCTTAAGCAGTGGTCTGTACATGTATGCTTAATTATAGAGTATGCAAAAGTTTAAGCCATCATACAAAACTTCTTCAACAGGCCAACAATGCCATGGAGCATGATACAACATTAAGTAAGTTGAAGATAATAATCTAATAATTCCCGATTCCATGTTGAAGTTTGGTCAGTTGCCCACTCAGCAATATTCCAGCTATTTGAAGGCAGCCAGTTAATAAACAAGTCTGGAAAAGACAACCCAGTGATTGATATTGTGGATAACAATCCACACTGTGATGGTACCATGACACACTATCACCCAAGTCACCGAGTCAGATCCAGAATAGGTTGCTGGGGGCTTGTTCTAACGAGAAATCCCCACAGGGTTGAAGTAACTGAAGATCAACATACCTGAAGAGCTTTGCCCTCTGTTCAAAACGGGTTATTTCCTCCTCTTCCCCAGTCTTCACAGGTAAAGACACAATAGGTTCGAAATAGATGTGAGAGTCCTCTCCATCCTTATTGACATAGTAGTCCCCTTCTGGGGATTTGGGGGACGTCACAGAGGCCTTGGCTTGAGGAGTCTGGCCAAACACTGCAGGTGAAGATCCTGTAGGGGTCGGTGTTGTGGTTGGCTTAAAGGCCTGAGAGCATGAGATGGTGAATGGCGATGAAGTTGCCACGGCTGGTTTTGGAGTTGAAGCTTCAGATTTCTTCCCTGCTTCCTGTATTCTCCGAATGACTGACTTCAATTCCTGGGCTAGTTCAGCATTTTCAAAGTTCAAGTTCACAGTCTCCTCTCCCTTCCCATCATGCTGGGGTCTCTTCCATGTGACCAGCTGCGGGATGAAGGCTGCCACCAGCTTCAGTGTATTAATATCATGGTTGAGGATTATCTGGTTCGTTGAAAGAGTCTCCATCCTAACCCGGCCACCCTTCTCAGCACCAAAGCAAAACACTTTGACATTACCTTCCATCTTGGAACCAATCTTCGATGTGTAGGTTGCTTTCCCTCGGAAAATACAAACAACTTCCGCAGTAGACGCACTGGGGGAAGTAGTGGATGTCACAGCCCTGTTAACAAGATTCTGAGCCTGCACCTGTGGCATCTGACCAAAAGGTTGAGGTTGAGCAGGGACAGCCTGGGGACTTGTCGCCTTGGTCAGAGGGGTTGAAGCAGTCTTAACACCAGCTCCAAAGTTTCCTGATGTGAAGATTGGCTTTTGAGCCATATGTGATGCAAGGGTTGTGGCAGGTTGAGGCTGAGGTTGAGGTTGAGGTTGAGGCTGATGCTGAGGCTGAGGCTGATGCTGAGGCTGATGCTGATGCTGAGGCTGGGCTGCTGGCTGACCCAGGTACTGAGGAATAGCCTGAGCAGCAGGACTTGGTGCTCCTGATGGAATCTGTGCATGTATTGCTCCCATGTTATGAGGAGAATCCTTGCCCATGATCGCAGCATAAAGGGAGGGGGTCTGGTTTATTGCTGATGCTGTTGTAAGGCCATGGGGTGAGTATCCTGGACCAGGTATTGATGTAGCAATGTTAGACTGACCATACTGTATTGACTGTCCCCTCAGAGAAGAGGCAAAGAAGCCACTTTGTGGCATCTGACGTCTGTTCTGGGGAGCATAAGTTACCGTTGAGCTTCCTTCAATGCCTTCCCTGTTTCCATATGGCCATTCAAGGTGTGAGTCTGGTACATCTCCCTGTGCAGCTAGCGTAGAAATGGACATCCCTGAGGCCTGACCGAACATGCAGAAGCCTCCACTGGCACCAGTACTGCCTGCAACACCTGATGGTCAATAAGTCATTAATGCAAACATCATCGCCTTTGGTGTTTAACGCTGCACTACGTAATATTGAGGCTACATGATGGCAGCCTGTAAAAAATCACATCTGGGCCATGACAATCCAGTAATTGATATTGTGAGCAACAATCCATGACGTTAACACCAAGCCAGCGAGTCTGACCACCCAATACGTTAAATTGCCTCTTATGACCAGCATCGATTGCTGGGGAATTCACGCAGTCAGTGGAATGATTCATCAAGGCAAATTATCTGGACGCCCTGACTGTGACAGTTATGAATGGTCCGAAGATAATGTGACCTCAAGAGTTAAGAACTTGTATATATTTCCTAGTACAGACTCCATGTTGTGTACCGTGGTTATGGCTACTCAGTTTATATTCTTGCTAGAGAACCATAGTTTCGTCCTTTTAAACATAACCTCATGCAGACTGTTAATAAAACTCACATTTGGCTTTGACCTTGCTGGGCACGCTGACTTTACTGGGGTCATAGTCCTCACAGCCAATACAGCCTGGACAAGGGGGTTTGTTTTCATAGAGGTAGAAGGACTCGGGCAACAGGTACTTCCTGGCTCTGGCCTTCTGTTCCTCTGTAGCCTCCTCCACATTAAGGAACTCCACACCTGAAGTGTCTAAGGGACACAGAACCAAGCGTCAGAAAGAAGGGTAATAGTCCTCACCTGCCGTGATATAACTTGAATACTGTTAAAAGAAGCGTTAAACCCAACAATCTCACTCACTCCTTCTGCACATCGTCAACCTGTATGAAAATATCATAAACCTTATCATAAATAATTGACGTTTCTTTTTTAAATACGTGAATGTCAGCCATGGTACACTTAATGTTTCTTTACCTTCTCAGGTTCAGTGAGGATGAGACGAACATAAGTCCTCTCGCCTCAACCGAGTTCAGACAAGAACAAATCTACAAAGTCTGCTGCAACCACGTCATCAACCCTGAGCTGGAACTGAAGCCTATGGCCTCAGGTGATGGAAAGTCATGGATTTGGTATGTTAGGACTTCTCAGAAGAGGAGGCCAAGATGGAACAACTGGTTATCAAGTTCAAGAACAAGAAGACAACTGACAAGTTCAAAAAGGAGTTTGATGCTGTCAAGGCTGATGGAGAAAAGTGTGTTTCTGTAGCTGCTGCAGGAGACGTGTAGATTGACGGTTAGCCTACCGTTATCAGTTATTGCTGCATAGGTAATACGTTATATCGGGACAAACCCGTTGACGGCCCCTAATCTCTGCTTGCCGTCATAATATCACATTATCTTTTTTTTCCGTCTTACAGACATGATACAATCGTTTGTACATGATGTCGCCACATAGAAGGTGAATAGGCAGAAATTAATGCTGTTATTGACATATTGCGTTCCGTATCTTTTCAAGTGTAGTCATTATTTGTGTCATCACGTCTATTCTCATTTACATTTTGCTGTAATATTTAATGAGTATACTGTTTTGGAGTGACACCGCATTGTTGGTGTATTATGACTACATGTTGTTCAAATGGCTGTAAGTAAAATATTGTTTATACATAGTTACCGACCTTTTGATATTCTATTCCCACTTATATTTGATGTAATATAACAAAATAGCACATATACTGCTGAGGACAGACACATCTGTATCCGTCGATATTGTCAACATATACAAGTACTTTATTGAAAGGTGTCCATACTTACAGTAAGCAGTGCATGTCTCTCCAAACGTTGCCATTGCTTCTGTCAAAGGTTGGAGGCCCATTTGTGAAAATGTGATTGAGGACTGTTGGCGGATACGTTGTGGTAATTGTGTGGCACTGTTAGCAATTATCTTGGCTTCTATTGCCTTCTTCAATGGGAGGACTTCAGTAGGAGCACACAGTTCAAGACAGCTCTGGATAAAATGTAACAAAGTTTCACATGTAGAATCTTCATGTTGAAGTAACTCCCGAAGAGATGCATTTGAGGCCTTCTCTGCTTCTTTGCACTTTTCTAATTTCAGTAATACTTCATTTTCTCTCTGGTCTAAAACACTCCTGAGATGCCCAAATGTATGTTTTATCTGTTCTTTAAGGTCTTGAGTATTACGCTCAATATCCAATTCAAGACCATCAACTTTGCCTTCTAAATCTTTGACAAGACTAAGCCTTTCTGAAACATGCTCAATACCTTCCTTGAGAGTGTTTTCCGCAGGATCAGCGTTTATGATTGTGGTTGTACTACAGTTTTTATGATGTGTTAAAACACACATTGCACATAAAATGAGGCCACATTTTTGGTCAAAAAGTTCCTCGATGTACTGCGCATGAATTTTACAATACTTTGTTTGAGGGGTGTACCCCTTAAAGTTACACGTCAGTTCAGACAAGGCTACAACGTGATGATTTCGGGTCACCTTCGGATCTTCATGGGAAACCTGACAGTATTCACACAGAAACACTTCACACTCCTGGCACCAGGACATGGCTTGATTGCCATCGTTGTTATTGGTGCATAAAACCGCCCCAGCGTTGTTTTGAATGGTTGCCAACAACACCTGTTTTGTTGTTACAACATCCTTAGTGTCGCCAACATCATTCCTCTTGAAGCCCTTCTGACAAATGCCACATCGTATAGTGTCAGTGTTGTCGACATCATGGCATGTCTGACATACTGAATGTAGGCAAGGAAGTAGGTATGGGTCGGGTCCACCGAACGTGTACGGAGTCTCACACACTCCACATCGATGCAGTATTCTATTCTCGGACATCGTATCTACAAAGAAATGAGTTTTTCATGTTTAATCGGCTTGGGCAACAACCATCTTCGTTGCTGACATCAGTATTTTGATAGCCCCAAGCTTCTCAGATTCAAGTAGAAAGCCCGCTGCATTATAGATAAACAAATGTTAAGCACATTATGTAATATGGATGTTGACACCGAACTGTTTGAACTGTTTGAAAGCTTTTTAAGAAGTTGGTAAGTGACAGTAAAGACACAATATTTCATGGATGACAACTTCTATATTCTATTATGATGCAACTTTTCAGTAGACATCCTTACACCATTGTCAAGTAAGAATGAAGTAAGAGAGCACCCTACAGGCTCACACCCCATAAGGATTAACAAAAATAACATGAGGGTATATATGAAAGGGGTTAAATGAATTGTTAACCCCTGTCGTCTTGTTGATGGCACTATCAAACTGAACACGACATCGATATTGCGTTATTCTATATTGATCATTTATTCTATACTGATTATCTGACCATGATAGACGCTTCCACTTAATGACGAAACACCCGAAATGCACATCGACACATAATCGACAGGTTATCATATTTCAATATATGAATATCAATATATCAATCAATACATAAGGATGTTTCACGTGCAACCGGCCTTTCCATTGAAAGTCGGTAGGTTGGATGCACAACAAAAATGTTCTTATGTCTTTGAAATGTGTCAACATTTCTTTTACATAATGGCGGACTCATGATTAATGTCATTTGGACAGGAATTTGGAAAATACTTTTCTTTCTCAAAAAAGTGTCGATGGCCATGTGTACGAATATAGGATACAAAATGCAGAGTTGCAGTTACTACTGGATGTGTGGCGATACATGTTGGGCAGAAAACACGATAGAAGTCAACTAAGAGAGTGTATTTTAAGTTGCAGGGACCACAGAGAGCTTGAATGATGGCGCTTTGCTTTATCCAACAGTGCCGTCATTTCGTTCGCATGGCAATGAGCGGATGTGATTCGTGGTGTAGAACTAAACATTGCAAGGCTTGCTTAATATTCTTAGAGAACCCACAATTTTATGTTGACTTCCGACGTAGCTATACTACACATTTCCAGTTCCTGTCTTATCAGCGCAAAAAGTATAGTGATCTCACAGAAACAATGTTTTAGCACCAAATAGTTCGTGTTCAATTGTCATGGTAGAATGGGGGAAAACAACTGTGTTTTCGTGTACATTACGGTTACCTGTAGATTTATCCGCGCTAAATTGAATTTGGAACCAATTTCACAGCAAGAAAACGCAGTATGTTCATATGCTAAGTGATGTCTTGTGTTCAGATGAGCATGTACTCTAAGTATTGTTGTAACTTACATGTAACTGAAATATATTCGATATGACCAACATATCCATTACCCTTTATCAGAAAGAGCCAACAACGCCTTTGGTATAAAGGTATTTTACTGTGTTAGCACGTAAACAACTCATATTTTGAAAATGACCTTTCTGAACGAACATACCGCCATCTGACTTTCCTTAGTATGTGGGATGTAGTATGATGGACCATTTCTGTCCATACCCAAGTAAAGCGCCATATCCAGTTCACATAGTCGATGGTTATGTTCAGGCGTGGCAAGACCTCTTTATGTTACACAACATGATCAAGCGGTCATTCTAGTCGCAGAAGTTACTTGTTTTGCGAACATCTGGTGTCATCACTGATTGTCAGTAATCCATTCACATAATTTCCACCGCTACCTCTCTTACACTGTGTGGGACAACTGAACTCACCATTACTGAATTCTCGCTTTTCCGCTGGTCCAATGAAATCGTTTCGACAGATAATCGAGGATGGTTATTGTCTTGCGTTGACGTTACAGTTCATACAGGACACAGAAGATGTAAAATACATAAACAATGTATGAAAACGTATTTAATATAATATAAAATTAGTAAAATCTAAATATTTTTTACATTTGTATACTTATCCTGCATTACTCCGTGTTTTCACCGAAGTTAAATCCACATACTAATTTGGGTTTGTTGACAATTGTCCGCAGGTTCTAAATAGGAAACTCAAAAAGATTAATTTTAAAATATGTACCTCACTGACTAATCGTTGTATACCTAAGTATTATTGTTCCTGACCAAGTTAGAATGTAAGAGAAAGAACAATGCCAAACCGACATATATGAAGATGTTATATCTCACACTATAATCAGATATAGGATTTAAATATTCCCACCGAAGCAAACCCACCCATGTAATGAAATTAGATTTTAAACATAATTTCTCAAGCTATCCCGGTTGATACCTTGGAACACATTTTTATAAAATATATGAAACAAACGGGGTCTTGTTTGATGCTTGTTTACATTCAGTAAACGGCTCAGTTGACAACAACATGTTTACCATTAAGTGTTATGTCTAACCATTTATTAAGCCATTCAGTTTAATATTCATTTTGATATATGCTATCAGGTGATATTTTTTTTCAGTAACTGAAAGATCCATCGATTTCAAAACTGTTTTTATTCATATGTAACTATAACTAATTTACATATAATAGTCTTAGTTATTGTGCTTACATTTCACTCAACTTGTCATGTTATAAATAATTGTTAAGATAATAATACAAGCTAATTTAAGGGCAACGAAGAACCGTGGCCTGGTATTTCTTATGTCATTCATATTTTATTTACTATATTCATGTTAAATTTTCACAATAGGTATGTCAACTAGATTAAGTTTAGAAAACTACACCAATATCTGATACACTACATGTTTTAGATGACTCGCCATGAACTCTCAGTTTAAGATCGTTTTAAAAGCCAGTCAAGGAAAACATTATCCCTAATGTTGAATACAGCCTACAACGAGAATAGCCTATTTTAAACATCTACAGTTTTAAGACAACAGGGATAAATAAACTCAGATGTTCCAAAGTCACCGCTGAAGGTGAGTTAGTCAGTGAGTGAGTGAGTTTGGCTTAACGCTGCTTTTAGCAATATTCGAGCAATATCACGGCGGGGGACACCAGAAATGGGCTTCCCACATTCTACCGAATCGAACCCGGGTTTTTGGCGTGACGAGCGAACGCTTTCACCACTAAGCTCCCCGACCGGCCCCACCGCTAAGGGGTAACATGTACACATAGCTTCTTGCAGAGTACATTTCAATTTTGTCGTTTCAGTGACAAATATGATGTCCGATGCAATTCCATATTTTGACGTACCATATGAGAACAACTGACTTGCCTTTACATGTGTTTGTGACAGGTGGGACAGTAAACGCTCACCTTTTCACGAACACCTGGAAACCTCACTATTCAATAGTGATTCATAAACTCATCCGCATGATACAGTCGAAATCGTACAATGGGCTGTTTTTTAGCAGAGATTTTTTTAATGATTATGAAAATGTTTTTGTCGCCTTTATTTCTCATCAAAATATGTGAACATATATAAAATCGTTAGATATTAACTTCCGAGTTCAATCTGGAAAAGATTATTGTATGATATATAAATCTATTTTAATAATTTTAGAAATTGAAGCTACATGTAAAGATATATCAAATGATCACCAAAAGTTTTTATTTCAATATTGATATCTTGAGACAATTCAATAATTTTACTCTTTCACAAGCCATGCTATAAAATGCATGCTTAAGTTAAACTTTATGAACACTAAAGATAGTCATTACAAATTTCAATATTCCCTAAGAGAAACATACGTTTTTAAAGTTCCGCTGCATATATTCCCACGAATGAACTCAACTTGAATGTCCTATTCAGTAAATATAAAACGACAACGCCAGAGGTTAACCAGACCCGATTATCCAATGAAGCAGATACCATTGGGTGTTAACGGAAAAGTCAGGGTTCAGTAACGACAGGCGAGTTCAGTTGTCTGAGACGGTGTAAGGGAGGTAACTCAAGCATACTGATTATCAATGCTGAATCAATACTATGAATACATTGTTTACTGCACATATATAGAAATAATTATGTCAAAACAAAAATAGCAAGATTCGTGTCTGTAGAATGAATGAATGCGGAAGTTTAGAGGGATATTAATCAGGCGTAATGTGACAACAGAATGTATCATTGTTAAGCTTGTTGCATGGCATACCAACTGAGTACTGGTATGTTGTGCCTTGAAATAAATAAACAGTAACGCCAACTGAAGCCCGGTACTATGAGACACACGCCGACATTGTTTCTATCTACAGGTTTGCGTACTTACCAATATTCAGCAAACAACGAACACACCTTGAAGCTGTTGATCACAACCAACAATGTCGACATTCGTGTTGGGGTCACGTGGTCTACTTTCGTTTCAGATGAAACGTGTATGGTGTATTTCTCAGAATTTCAACATAGTGCTGCAATGTGAATTTCGACATTGACTAACAAACAGATGGTTATGTTTACTTACTGCAGTAACCCAATCGTCCCCTTTTCGATTTTTAACGTATTTATGCACATACCTCTCAACATATGTATTTCAGTTTCCTAACATACTCAGAATAATAATGTCAGTTTAATATTCATTTTTATCATATAATGGGTAGGTTTCTCGGCAGGATAAAGCCAACGGATAAAAACGATATCCGTTGGGGTCATATGCGGATAGTGATGCAAATATCAATGGTCATGTAGGACAACTTTCACTGTTTACAAACAAACATGGCGTCGCCCTCGTCATTCGGCGATCGAGTCAGAATTAACCATCGGGAATCTGGATAAACTACAGGGATAATTGCTATCATTATCAAAAGAACAGTCTAATATACTGAAAATCAGTGTCTATCTGTGACGTAGCTAAGGCATTTTAAAAGTTTTTGCAACATTGGAGATATAAATTTCGAAACAATTTTGCGAGGGCACGAGGCCTAGCCTAGGTCCGACTTGGCCCGGGCGGTCAAAATCAACTTTAAACACACAGATGTATCATCAAATGGATTCACATCTTTAGATTAGTATTATATCTACCTAAATACCACGTTATTATGTCACGGTACATCGTATT